AGTCTTCTGTAAAAGCTCTAGGCTTCCCTTTTCCGTGATGGTAACATTAAACAAAGGGTCACCAGTTTTTGTCAGCATTGTGCCTGTGCTGTGAACCCCAATTCATGCTTCAAAATCACTATTTCCTGATTGGAAACCACCTAGAGTAAACAGGAACAACCTCTCCCGGGCCTGAGACCTTGGCAGCTTCTGATCATGAAGTCTTTCCTGACCAAGGCCCTCCCATTCTCTGCCACCAAGTGGTATCCATAGTCTCCTTGGGCTCCCACAGCCGGAGCTCCTGACAGTTTCCTAAATCACCACCATCTCTTGGTTTTAACTTGCACAATGTTTTCTTTGCAGAGTAGGGGAACAACAGATACCAACCAAAAAAAAACCCTGGATGGCTGCTTTGGCAGAATTTAGCTTTGACTGTGTTCTGCATCCTTTTGTCCTTGTTTGTGTGATTAGTAAAGTCCTGCTGTTTGAATTCCAATAGCCATGGACCTTTTCCAGTCCCCTAAGAGGTCCTGGAAGATAAGCAGCTGTGTCATGGGAAGTATTTAGACTCAGTCTGGGAAACACATAAGAAGTAAGTGGGAAGAATGAGCAGGCAGCAATGGCCACAGTGTTCTTGGTCAGACAAATAAGGCTTTTGGACACTACCTGGATGGTGTTTGGCTTGTTACCAGTGCACACAAAAAGCATTACTTCCCCGCAAGGTTGTGGGGCATAAGTGGGCATTAATTCCTTATCTGTGCAATATGAGATTAGGTGACCCCATGCTCCGAAGAAAATCCACAGATAGTCCTTGAAGTCTGGAATTAGCATCTGAGAATCACCATCTAGGCCAGTGTCTTAATTTTATGGATGAGGAATCTTAGGTCCTAGAGACCCAAGTTGGCACAGCTCTTATGCAGCAGAGTAAGGCTGCAGCCAGGGATTGTTGCGTGTTCATCAAGAACGCCTATACCACAAAATTCCTTCACTGAATTCCAGATGCCGCCAGCAGCCAACCACGTGACAGTGGACAAGTCACTGAACTTGGGGCCACTGCTTCCTTATTTGTCAGCTGAACCCACGGATCGCATGATCTTGCAGCTGCCTTCCAGAAACAACATTCCAGGGTGCTCTGCTCTTTTTCCAGCCTGCAAGACAGCACAGAACAGCCTAGCCTCCCAGGCCACAGGCACTTTGGCCTCCCAAGGTCTGGATAGGAGTCTTTCTTTTTTTTTGGTCACAGTGGTAAAGATGGTTTAAGATGAAGGACTCTGGGGTTTCCAGACTTTGAGGCTGGTGGTTCCATCCCTTTGGCCTGGGTGTGAACAGGGAAGGATAGTTTCTCTCTGCCTGTTACTTCTCTCCAACTCCTGCTGCAACGTCCACACCTGAGAGCCAGCACAGGGACATGGTAACATGCAGATCTCTGCAGTTTGACAGAGTGTGTCCCAGCCTGGCTCTGCAGTCTGCTAGCTGGGGACCTCTGCTTGTCATTGCCTCTCCTTGCCTCCCAGTTTCTCCATTTGTAGAATGAGGGTAGGAATGGCACCTGCTTCCTGGGCCTACAGTGAGGACTGTGTTCATATGTGGAAAGCACTCAGAAAGGGCATAGGATTGCAGGTGTTTTCATGATGATCTTGTATCTACCCAGCACACAGAAGAGTAACTCCTTTTGATGAGCCTGGCCAGGGACTGAGTTGCTGGATTCCAGCTGGTCTGACCCAGATCCATGCAGCACCCAGCAACCTTCAGGCTCCCTTTGAAATAGGACCGGCCTGAACCTCCCAGAAAAACATTTTCCCCAATTAAATGATGCCTATGTAACCACAATCAGGCTAAGATTTTCATTTACCACAGGCTGCATCTCAACTTCTCTCCTCCAGATTCCACTGGGGGTCGGTAAGTGTCATGTGGTATCGTCACTCTGTCACCACTTCCCATTCACAGGCCACCCAAGGGACTCTCCTTGGAAGAGGAAGACTAACTTCCGAGCCCTCTCTGTACCTGTGGGTTTGACACTGTGGTTTAGTTGTTTCTTACCCTCCTTTCCCGGCCACTGCCAGCCCATTGCCCTTCTCTGCTGCCGTCTGTGGCTTGATAACAGCACCAGCTCCTGATACTCAAAGGACATAAATGAAGCTGGCTAGGTTGGGGCTTTTCTTCCTCTCTCTGCCTAGAAACCCACAGCACAGAGCAAGGAGGAACTCTGCCCCCATCTCTGATTTTAACTAGGGATGGATGCTTCCTGCAAGGCTTAGAGTTGATTCTGACCAAATGTATTAGGCAGCCAGGCCTGGTGACCTTCACAGGCATGTTGGGGGCTGCAGAAGACCATCTTCTGGGGTCTGTCAGCACCTGTGCATCCAGAGGACAGACAAGGAAAGTGGAGTCCCACATGCTTCAGAGAGAAAGATGACGGGAGTTAAGAGCATGGCTCAGCTGGATTCTCAAGTGCCCTATGACATAAATGCTTTCCGACTACCATGTTCTGTATTTGCCCAAATACAGGTCAACTCCCAAATAACAACCCCTACTTCCCTCATGAAGTAAATTTAACCTTTTCTCTTCTTTTTGTTTTTCCTCCCTCCCTCCCTCCCTGCTCCTCTCCCCTCCCCCCCTCCCTGCTCCTCTCCCCTCCCCTCCCCTCCCCTCCCTCCCTCTCTCCCTCCCTTCCTTCCTTCTTTTCTTCCCTTCTTTGCCAGCTTAATAGTTGAGAACTGTGGCTGCCTTTGAGGTGAGGGGTGAGAATAGACCAGGGGGAGTTTTCTGGAGTGATGGGCATATCCTGTACTTTGATTAGAGTGATGGTTACTGGGTGATCTCATTTGTCAGAATTCATCAGACTGCACCCTTGAGATCTGTGCACCATAGGGAATGTAAATTTTATTTCAATTTTAAAATGTTAGGGAAGTGAATTGGAAAATATGCATAATATTTAAATTAATTATGTAATTGCATACTTGAAATCATATAATAACAATGCATGTATTTATAATTCTTTTTCCATTCACATTTCACAAGTAATTTCATTCAAACATGCATCTTCTGAGATCAGTGTATATCATTACTAAGCCACTTTTTTTAGTCAACACTTTTCCAGAATATGTCATTTTCAATTTCTTGCATTTATTTGAAATGCAGAACCTTTTGAATCCATGTTTGATGCTGAAATTTTATTGCAATCCACAAATATCCATTTGAGCAACATTTTAAGCAGTTGTTTTTCCCATTTGTCTTCTAAGTGAATATTCATGATCCTTACCGCATAAGTAACATATGTATTGCTTTCTAAAATGAGCTTCAAAATATTTATCATAATGTTGCATAATTATACTCAAAGAACAATCACCAAATCTGCCTTAAACTTCATTGCCTCTTTTCCACTAGTCCCTCTAGTAAACTCTAAAATTTTCCAAAACTAATGTTGGTTGAGACCATTTCAGGGTGGTCTATCTTCCCCAAGTGTTGCAATTCAGAGAAAGTAATTCAGAGTATCCCAATTATGAGAATGTTTAAAGGACAAGTCCCAAACTATGAGATACTTTTAAAGGCAACATTCCCTTTTCTAATAATTAATTTGAGAAAATAAAACTTCACCTTATTTATTTTCAGCCATCTATAGTAAATCCTAGAATTTGTTCAGACCAGAGTTGAAATAGATTAATTTAGCAATTTTCAATGATCTTGTTTTATAGTTCATTATTAAAAGAGGAACATTCTCAAGTTAGAAGTATCTTTATGTAAAAACATTATTTACACCTTGCTCTCTACCACAAATGAGAAATGGTAACATTCTTGAATAAATTCAAAAGCACTATATTTTATTCCAGGGCATTGAAGCTAGGAAAGCTTAAGTATATGACTGGTTAGTAATGGGACTGTGAACGCAATCCCAAATTATGAATTCCTAATTGTCAGTTGTTGGATCTGACCTTACATCTTGTCCAGTCTTCAGCTACAATACTTGTGATAGGATGATATACAAAGATTTGTTTTGTTCAAAACTTCCTCAGTATAGATGTCAAAACGAGTGTTGTTTTTAAAGATACCAACCTTGTTGATGGAAATCAAATCAGGAACCTCACCAAGAATTTTCTGGGTGTACTATTTCTTGTCTGACTCAGTGCAGTGGCTGTCCTATTTTTTTGTTTTGTTTTTCTTTCTTTATTGATAGTAGAATCCTAGTTTTAAATAGCACCATCCATGGTGGATACTCTAGTTAGAACAGGGAAGGATCAGAAATGAGGACCACAGCAGTGCTGATAGCCTTTTTCTCTCTCATAACCTTCCTGCAGGGTTGTCAGCACCCAATCGGCTCCATTGAACACTCTGAAAAACTGCTGGCAGTGTACCATGAATAAGGTCCACTTATAAACCTTTGCGTTTCAGAAGTCCTGAGTTCCGGAAGGCTCTTGAGCTTGTATTTGTTGGCAAGTGTCTTAACCTGAGTCTCCTTTTCCTCATCCAAACATCATCAGTGCCTGCCTGAGAGAATTGCTCTGATGTCTGTAAATATGCCTGGAAAACGTGAAGTGCAAGTTTTGTTTTGTTCCTTAAGTCTTAAAATTTTCTAATCACATCTCAGTTGCATGTTGTGTGGCATCTCATCTGTTATTTAGGGACTTCACATGAACATTTTGCATCATTTGTCCATTTTGATGCAAAAACTTCTACTTTAAAACTTCTCAGCCAGAGCCAGGGATGGTAGGATTCCTGTAGTACTCAGGAGCCTGAGACAGGAGGATTGCTTGAGCTGGGGAGTTTGAAGCTAGCCTGGAAAACATAGCAGGACCTGTCTTTTAAAAAAGTTTGTCACGCCGCCTGCCTTGCAAGCACAAGGTCCTGAGTTCGATCCCCGGTACCCAAAAAAGAAAAGTTTGTCAGCCATTCATGTCCACTAGAGGAGATAGAAGGAACAAAGGAGAATTTGGACTCTGCAGCTACTGCCTCTCCAACAAGGGATTCCTGGATCAGGTTCTGTTTGGGGACTGAGCACTCTGACAGGCCTCTCTTCATTTCAGGTGGGCCAGGAGAAGGGAAACTGCTCGTTCCAGAAAAACCCAACCCCCTGCATCATCCCTCAAGAACAAGAAAATATCTTCCACACCATCTTTGCTTTTTTCACAAAGTCTGGAAGAAAAGTCTTGGTAAGGATTTGCTTAGTGGCTGGGGTAACATGGGTGGTCCTTACTAGGAAGGCAAATTGGAGATTAAAGGCCAGTTTTCTATTTGGTATTTGTTATTTCCCAAATCTGGCTTTCATCAGTTGACTTAGGAGTGGTCAACTCCTATTTTTTCAGCTTGAGGTTTCAATCCAAGTGTTAAATTTATATTCCATCCCCTTTGCCTGACAAAGGGAAGGCCTTTGCAACCCACCAAGCACAAAGCGAAATATTTCCTCATCTCATATGAATCTAAACAAGAGTGATGGTTCTTGTACAATCACTTTGGAAAACTTTGGCAATATTTACTAAAGCTAAATGTATGTGTACTCTAATGACCCAGCAATATAGATCATTCCTGGCTATGATCCCCAAGAGAAATACGTTCGTGTGTCTGCCAAAAGACATGAACAAGAATATTCAGAGCAATTTTCTGATAGCTAAAAGCTGAGAACAATTCAGATATTTATCCACAGGTGAATAGGTAAATAGTTGTGGTATATTCATGTCCTGGAATATTGCACAGCAATGAAAAATACTGCCACACATAACAACACAAGTAAGTCTCATAAACATGATATTGAATAAAAGAAGTTAAAGATGAAAGGACGCATATCGGAATATGTCACATATATGGAGTTCAGAAACAGAGAAAAAACTAATCAGTGGAAATAGTGGCCAAGATAGTGTATACTTTTGGTGGAACATCAACAGGAAGGGGCCTCAGAGTACCTGCTTTTTAGGAAACAGAATTGTGTGTCATGATCAGGGTGGTGATCATGATGAAGTATAAACGTGTGTAAAAATAGATGTGCTTGGTGGATAGGCTTAATATTTGCCCTACTTATTACATATGTTAAACTTCAGGGTTTTTCCTAATGAAGGAATTGAAGATGGAATCATAATGCTTTTCCAAAGGCTCCTCTTTTTATGCCTCCAGTTACACTTCTCTAGATCATTATTTCACTCTGGGTGCATTTCACTTACATTTATTGTGTCTTTCCTCACTTTCTTCTCTGGTAAAGAGGCACAAGTATTTGTCACTTGAAAGATTTGAATGTTTTCTCTTACATTGTGAGGATAGTATATCTCTTTTTAGAAGTCCATGGAGTTATTAGATATAGTGATATCCACCTGTTTGATGATACAACTCTTATCTGGCTGAAAATTTCACCAGCAAGTGAAACATAATGAAGGTATACAAATACAAAAGAGAAAAATTCCTCTTTTGCAATCTAGAATTTACATTTCTCTTGGTAATTTGTGCTTTGTTGTGCAAGAGTCACATGACTTCTTAGCTTCTGATTTGCATAAAAAATGACCATGAGGGGGTCATGGTGGTACATGCCTATTATCCCAGTACTGTAAACTGAAGCAGGAGGATGGCAAGTTCAAGTCCCACCTGGGGAACTCACCTTATCTCAAAATAGAAAGGTCTGGGGCTGCCGCTCAGTGCAAAGGCCCTGGGTTCAACCCAGTTCTGAAAAAAATTTTAAAAGCATGAATTTGTATTTGCCATTGCACAGGCAGAAATTATGGAATATAGAAAATCTATCTTATATTAAAAACTCATAGGAACACTATCAGAGTATGGAGATGTGTTTCTGTTTAGGAACAGTCAGGCTCTTTTGTGAAGTCTAACTTTTTGGTATATTAACTATAGAGATCTGCTTTCTCCAGGCAGGAAATCCCTCAAGTGCCCTCTGGTGGCAAGATAACATAATTACATCTTTCTTCCTTTTTTATTTTGATAGTTCTTCCCTCATGCTGCTGGGTACCTAACCCAGGGCCTCCCACATGCTAGCCAGGCACTCTTCCCACTAAGCTACATCCTCAGCCCTCCATCTTCCTTTTGTTTTTTCCTCTGCCTGGAATCACCTTAGTCATCAGACAGAAGTCCTAGAGTTTGTTGTTCTGTAAATGGCTGGATTTATCTTTGTTCGTAATACTGTTGGACAATTCTGGTTTTTCTTCTCAGGACTGTGAAAATCCAGGAATGTCTTGCCTAGCAATACACTGTAACCTTAGTGCTCTCACTAAAGAAGAAAGTCGTACAATAGATGTTTACATGCTGCTGAACACAGAAATATTGAAGGAGGTAAGTCCTGAGGACCAGCATTCTTGAGCTTCACTGAAAGCACCTGAGTTGGTTTCCTTCTGACACTTTGGCTGCACCTTTTGAAAGTTTTTGGGCAAGTACCATTGGTGACTCGGCTGCCAGATGCTACAGGGTGGGGTATTGATTGCTTGCTACTTAAAGTGCAGTCCAAGGACCAGCAACATCACCTAGGTTTGTTAGAAATGCATAATTTCGGACTCTACCCCAGACTTGTTGAATCAGCATCTTGATTTTTTCAACCTTCCCAGCTGTTTTGTTTGCACACATAAGTTTCTCATTTTTCAGTTTACATGAGAATCACCAGGAGACTTTTTTAAAACTCAGATTCCTTGGGGGTAGAGTCTGAGATTCTGCAGTGCTGGAAAGTTCCTAAGTGATGCCACTTCTTCTAGTCTAGTGGCCATGTTTTTCATCAAGGGCTGGCAAACCTTTTCTGTAAAGGCCAGTTGGAACTATTGTAGGTTTTATAGGCCATACTACTCAACTTAGCTATTGTATTGTGTCAAAGAAGCCATAGACAACACTCACAGGAATAGACATGACTGTATTCTAATAAAACTTTATTTACAAAAACTAGCAGAGGGCCACATCTGACCTATGAGTCCTAAGTTTGCTCACCGTTTGTTTAGATGACCCCTTGTTTCACAAGAGCCCAACTATCGAACCTCAGGTCACTTTGCTATTAAGAGTTTATCAAAAGATAAACTTCTAAAAGTTTATCAAAAATGCCTCAATCAGTAAATTGATGTCCCTTAATGAATTATAAAAATTTATTGTTACTTATTTTAAGAGCTGTTGAGTCTGAGAGGCCATTTTCAACAAGACACTATAAAAATAATTGTATGTGAAGATAAAACAAAATATGCATGTTTGCCACAGAGTTTCTGTTCATTTCTTTTGGAGATAAATATAATTAATATGTATAAACCCACCAGTGGGTGAATGAATACCCTTAGAATAGTCATTTCGTGGTTTTTAAATAAGACACAGCAGTGACCTGCTGACCTGAAAAGATGCAGGCATAGGAGATGGTTCTTCCCACTTTCTGCAGCTGTTGCAGCCTCCACACATCTGGGTGTGGTTCCAGGTTCCTGGGTTTGCTCAGGGGGAAAACTGATTTGGGGAAGTTGGGCTCATACACAGCACTTTCTTAGGGTCACTTTCCTTTATAAAGAACAGCATCAGAGGACCTGGCACTAACTAGAGCCCTACTGACATCTTCTGCTTCCAGAAGGAAGACTGGAAGCCCCATGTCACGAGGAGTCCCTTTTTGTATGGGTCCCCAGCTCTGGTTACAGGGCCCATGATTCTGCACACTTACCTGTCCTGTCCATTCGCTTGCTAAATGTTATTGATGTCTCCTTTGCCCTCTATCCACATGGTTGCCACTTGCAGTTCATTTAACTGTGTGTAGCTCTGCAGCCTGGTTCTTCTGCATCTTTCTCCCAGTGACCAGTGGTGACCCTTTGCCAAGGAACATGTCCCACCAACTGATGTGTCTATGAGTCAGCACACCAGTGGAGCCCCAGGCGGGACAGCAGAAAGCTGTGGGTGTCATGTAGAGCCCTGGAGGCTCATTCTCCAAGTGCCTTTCCAGCAGAAGCTCCAGGTGCAGAGGAAAGCCTGAGACAAAGCTGATCTGGAAGCCAGATGGGCCCCCAGCTGCTCCTGGAACTGAAATGCTGAGTGCTGGTTCCCCTGACTCCAACTACAGCCTCCTTCAGGGGGTTGAGCCAGATGGTCTCCGGGGCCATCATGGCTTCCCTGAGGATGTGGAACATTGCCAGCCTTGTGGTTGGCCTGGACCAAGACTTGTGTTTATTTTTCTCTTGACCTCAAGGTCTGGCCCCAGACGAGGAAATTTGAGATTTTATTGTTTTGACCTTAACAAGTTTTCATTTGAAATATAGGATCTGATTGTTTTATTCATTAGAGGATGCAGATTTCCTTGAAAGTATTCTTCTTCCAGTCCACAAGGCTTTCTACACTGATTCTGCAACCACCGGGGATCTGTTCTATGCCAGGCTCCTCATATGCTTGGCCTTTAACTTTGGCAGTTCTCACCATCGTCATTATTAACATCCAAGATAATGATACCATGATTATTGATGATTGAAAATACAGTATATCCTGCAACAGTACTTAAACCCACAAATTTATAAAATTTGAATTCCCAAAAGAAGCCATGCATGTGGTGAGTACATACAACCCCAGCTACTCAAGTGGCTGAAGTAAGAGGATCACAAATTTGAGCCTTGCCTGGGCAACTTAGCAAGACCATGTCTCAAAAAAATTTTATTTTCAAAAAAGAAAAGGCTGGAATATAGCTCAGTAGAGTGCTTGCCTAGTATGTGCAAGGTTTGGGTTCCATAGCCAGTACCGCAAAGTAAAATCTCTTAACAGATTATTTGCATGCAGTATTATTTTCAGCTTAAAGTGAGATTACTGGAGCAATTCCTTTGAATGACAAGCTTCCTAGAAGCATTTAAATAAGGGTTTTTTTTTGGGGGGGGGCATGTGAAAAAGGATCGGATCTGATCAGTGCATACCATATGCATGCATGGAAATATTACACTGAACCCCGTTAATGTGTGCAATTAATACACGTTTATAAGAAAAAACATTAAATGTGTTTATGGTTATTTAGAAAACCACAGTAGGGCTGGGGGTATAACTCAGTAGTACAGCACTTACCAGGGTTCAGTCCCCAAAGCCACAAAAAAACACAATAATTTGTACATAACTCCCAGGAAGAGTATATAAACTAGGATCCCCATGTTCTACCCCAGGAAAGCTTTTGTGATTTCTTTGGTGGAGATTAACAAAGGACCCCTTTGGAATTTTTGGCTAGGGAAGAGTCCTCCACTTTCCTGTTCTTTGTAGAGTTAGCCAAAAATGAGTGAAAGGTGGCATCTAAATGTGAGCCTCTGAGTTTATTTTCTGTTGCTATAACAAAATACCAATGACTGGGAAATTTGTAGTGAACAGATTATTTGGCTCACAGTTCTGGAGGCTGGGACGTCCAAGAACATGATGTCAGCATCTACTGACGTGTGGTGAGAGCTGCCTTGCTGCATAATAATCTAACACGAAGGGCATGGTGAGACAGGACAAGCATGCAAGCTCGGGTCTCTCCTCCTCTTCTAGTGAAGCCATTAATGCCATCTTAGGGACCTCTACCTTCATCACCTCATCGATCCCTAATTACCTCCCAAAGACCTTCCCTGCAAATACCACTAACATATGCTTTGGGGGATAAGTGCCCAACACATGAATTCTGGGGAACACATCCAAACTATAGCAGCTTCCTTGAGTGACAAGCAAGCTGAGTTAATGCAGTGGGTTCTTACTGCCAGGGCCCTAGCCACTCCCATGGGAGTGCTGACTGTTCTGTTCTCTGCCCTCTGTTTCCACAATGCAAGCCAGGCGCCTCTCTACTCCACAGTCTATGCACACCCTCTGTACACTGGCCTGAGGTTCTGGCCCGACCCTGGACCATGGTCTGCCAGTGCCTGTCTTTTTCCACATTCCATTTCCATCCCTGCTTTGGAGAAGTTTTCTTGTTATCTAGATCAGTGGCTTTGAATCGGAGCCCACAGCAAGGCTTCTGCCTACTTCTGCAGGCAGGCAATTCTTCAATCTTAGATGTGCCCCTGCCCCAAGTCCATTTTTGTCTCTAGTCTTTATTTATAAGCTAGATGTTTTCCTCTCCTTCATCTTTCCATTGGGTACTCTCTTTACTGTTCAATAGCTTTGACCCAAAATAGCTCCATTTAAGAGCAAACAAAGAGTTAAAAGTACTTATGGGAAGGGTTTGAGGGTTGTGGTCAGGGCAGGGAGATGCCTATAAAATGGAAATCAGATGCCTTCTACAGAATGCCAGGCCTGGATTTGTTATACACAGTTAAATGGCTTTATTTACCCTCAACTCTTTGTGAATACATCAATATCAATATTTAAATATCTGGCTCTTCCTGACTAGGAAACCACAACACATAAGCTTGCATGTGTTGATTATTGGCAAATGCTATAGTTGTTCTGTATCCACCATGATCTGAAAGAATCCTTGAGGGAAACATTAGAACTCATGTTTATGTGGGTCCCTTGGATGGGGAAGTTTCTAGCTCAGTGATAAAATTTTTGTCTGATTTATGTGCAATCTTGAAATATCAGTTCTGCCTAATACCTCTCAAGGAAAAATCATTGTCTTTGAAAAGTCTTACAGTGAATTGTGTTGCTTCTTCCATAGGACAGTTCATCTGTCATCCAGTTCATGGCTCGAGCCAAGGTGAAGGTGGACCCTGCCCTGCAGGTGGTGGAAATAGCCAATGGGAACCCAGAAGAAATGACGGTGAGTCAGCCACCCTGGCACAGCCCTCCTCAGAGGAGTAAAGCCGAGTGATTGGAGATGTGGGGCTGGAATTTGAGGGTAAAGATAGTCTCTGAGCCAAGTAGGCTTTGTGGTAGACAACAGACCATGCTGCCTTGGCTTCCAGGCCCTCATAGAGAGCTTCTGTGGTTGTTCTTGTTGTGCTAGCATTGTTCTTTAAGATGCCAAGGTTGTGTGAACATTTCCTGCTGTATTTGGTCAAAGAAAAATAGTCCGGAAGTACCCTTGATGGGGCTTGTTTTTCCATTCTGAACCCAGGACTATTTTTATCTTTCTTAGCCCTTGCTCTGAAACCTCATCTGCCTTTCCAATCACATTCTTCTGTGGATAAACACTGGTGTCCCCCAAACAAGTTGTTTAAATAACTTGAAAAGGTCACATCCAAATTGCCAAGACCTAGAACCTTGTCTCTCGCTCCTTTTCTGCTCCCATATCCTCCATAAAATGCAGTTGGCAGGCAGAGCTCGGGACATGGGAGGGTGAGGGAAACTTGAAAGCTTATATGTGGGTGTGAGGGAGGGGCTAGAGGGGAAGTGTGGCTGGTGATTCTGCCTTTATTCTTGTCATCCATTGTTTGACCCCTCCACTCAGATCCTAGGGGAGTAGATCTCAGAACTGCTTTGCCAGTGAGCTGCATGATGATGCGTCCTTTCAGTTCCCCATCCAGAGAATGTACCTTCTGAAAGGAGACCTACCCTCTCATGGAAGTGTCAATATGGCAGAGTAACAAAGTGATAAATTCATAAAGATTATATACTTAACACAAAAATACTTTGTTAACTTACTTTCTGAAATCAGACATGCTGCATGTTGAAATATTAGGATGCAGATTCGGCCAAATCCCACTCTTTTAAGACTCTAGCTGAGAAAGGTTCCTACAGAAAACAAATCCTTTGGGGGTGTCAGTAAAATTTCAGTCCTGTTCCTGATTTTGTTGACCGAGAGATGAGAGCATCCATGAGTCCTAACTATCAAGAATGCCTAAAGGGGTGAGAGCTGGCAATGTGCGTGAAGGGTCAGGCACCCCACGCCCCATGCAGGGGCAGTACATGGGCCAGCTTACTCACTGGAGACAAAATACCTGATACCTGCAACTAAATGGAGGAGAGGCTTATTTGGCTCATCATTTCAGAGGTTTCAGACCATGATCCACTGGCCCCAAGGTAGAAACATCATGGCAAAAGGGCAGAGCGGAACAAAGCTGCTTAGTTTGTAGCAGCTAGGAAGCAGAGCATAGGGGAGGCATGCTTCTAGTGACTGACCTCCAACTGGGCCCCACCTTCTAACAGCAGTCAGCTCTAGATTAATCCACTGATGAATATAGTCACCATGACCCAGTCACCTTTCTGGGAGTCTCTTAATCCAATCAAGTTGAAAATTAAGCTTAACCATCATAGATGGAGTGTCAGAGGTAGATCTGTACTCCTCTGTTCACCTGAATTACCATCCATCCAAGCACTAGTTTTAATAATAGAAACAATAAGAAAAATGCTCAAGTCCTAGGATTAGTTTTTCTGGCAGGTCAAATATTTGCAGTTGGCTTTTGTGTTTTTGACCCTTCCCTCTGGCCATTTAACTACCAATTCAGGCCTTCACCTGGGAAGTGAGAGGAGGCAGTGGTTCCCTATTCATTGCCATAGCTCTGATTAAAGTTACATAGAATGAAGTATGAACCTAACCTCAGAGGTTTAGACTTCTCTGGTAGACCGCAGTGTGAAGAGTTCGAGCCAGTGGAAATAATTAACGGCTTTCCTACAGATGAAATCCCTGTGTAGAGGGAAGAAGAGTTCTGGGCACACTGCCTCTTATTAGAAGAGTAAGCTGTGGAGCCCAGGAAGACATTGCTTAACATCCTGTTGTGTGATTCAGAGTCATCTGTCTTCCCCTAGGATACCATTTCCATCAATTTCTGTTTCATTTTGGGCATGGGGTGATATTTTCATTACGAAGAGTTCTGAGGAATAAGCTGATTTTATTTTACCATATTCCCAAGAAAACAATAACATGTACAAGAATCCCATGATATGCTCTTTTCCCTCCTTTCCACGACTACCCTTTCAATCTGTGAGCTAAGCTGAAGTTCTGCAGTGTGTTCTAAACTTTCCTGGCGGAGAAAGAAAATCTTTTATAAGTAAGAAGGTTTTCATGTTTAGAACAAGCACATTTTTCCCTGCATGATTCTTCTGAATGCCTAGCTGTCTGTCAGCCATCCATCTGAAGGGGAATTTCCACAGAGGCTAGTCACCAAATTTAAATCAGGCCCAATTTCACAAGATTTCAGATTTGGCACTGAATTGTTGTGGCCTCGGAATGAACAGGAAGTGTACTTGTGTCTGGTATCCAGCAGGGTGTGGGGAAAACAATCAGATTTTTAACCACAAAGGATAATACATGGTAGTAAATTTGACTGACAGGAAATCAAAGAATTTTCCTGTGACTCTTTGTGTCCGTTATACCGTGGTACAAGAATACTGTACAGACTATTTGGGTGAATAACTAGAAATACGTGTTCTATTCTTAAGGCATTGGCCTTGTTTGTGTGAGATAAATATATGTATAAATAGTATATATACATATGCATATAGACATAGTTATATGTCTATATGTATAAACATCAGTTCACAAACTTGATTCTTTCCACAATTCTGGTTGAAAACCAAATTAGATGAGAACTGAATCAAATCTCTCCAAAAGGTCAACATTGCACCTAACCATTGAATTTGATTTGGTTTTCGTGCAATTTGGTTTATGGCCAGAATTGTAGAATTAAATTCGTGAACTGAGGTACCACTGTATGTATGTAAAATCTCCAGGCCGCTTCCCAGAGAGCATGGGAGCACATGTTCAAGACCAGCCAAAACAAGCCTGTCTGGCTTCGTAGAGAATTGCTGGTGGGACCTGTGTGGTTACAGAATCAAAGTGCTGGTTTGCGAGGTGCCAGCTACAGTTTAATTTCCTATTCATTCCAATCCTGCTTACTTTTCAGGGAGTGAGTTAGGAGTAAAAGGGAAAAGGACAGAAAGAACTGGCTGGGATCCAGAAATACAAAGATTTATTATATAATCTTTAGATTACAGAGTAAGGGAAATAGAGCTGGTTAGGCTCTGGTAAGCTGACCCTCTTGGAGAGGAGTTTGTCCCAGAGAGGCACAGGAGACCCCTTTTCCGTGGTATCATGTCCCATAATTTCAGTTACCCATAGTTAACTACAGTCCGAAAGTATCAAATAAAGAAATTCCAGAATTAAACGATTCATAAGTTTTAAACACGTTTTATCACAGTGTATTGTTCTGATTGTTCTATTTTGTCATTAGTCATTGTTGTTTATCTCCTATGCCTAATTTTAAAAGTAAACTTTATCATAGGTATGTATATATAAGAAAAAACAAAGTATTTAGAGGCTTTGATACTAGCCACAGTTTCGGGCATCTACTGGGCATCTGGGAACATACTCCCCAAGGGTAAGGAGGGACAGATGTACTATAGAATGAAAATATGAATTGGCTCCAGAGATGTTTAGCCCCATTCATGCAGCCATTAAAAGGCATCAAAAGATTTGGCAAGCTGGACTTCCTCTGACCCCTGACCCCTGAATTGGCTACTGAGGCCCACAGCTAAAGCAAAGACTCAGTATCCCATCCCATACTTTTAGGAGAATGACTAAGACCTGAGAGCAGAAACTTACCCCCCAAGGCAATCAGAGACCATAGAATTGCTACTGAACTAGCAAGTATGGGAGACACTGCCCCAAACTCTCTTCTGTGTGTGGAGGAGAACCTGAAGTGAATTCTTCCTATTTTCTTGGTAGTTTCAAGCAGGAGAATATATAATCAACATGTAAATCCCCAGATGAATAAATGTTCTCTGTGTGGGAGGGAATGCTCTGTCTTGCTCCAGCAGAATCAAAATGGGCTGGAAGGATATCTGGGAGCAATCAGACTTGCCAGAAGAAGCATACTGTGGTATAAAAGGAGTCAAGAAACTTGAGGGACCGAGACTGCACACTGGGAACCATCACAGGAAGAATCTGGTGTCCTGGATGCTATGCCCAGCTGTCCCTGGCTCCTCTTGACCTCCTACTCTGGAGAGAGGCAGGAGCTTCTCACCGGCTGAGGCTGGGCCCAGGTCTCTGTCATTATTGGCTATTGTGGAGCCTGGGGAGGAACCTGCTTTTCCCTGAGACTTACCCAGGAGGAATACCTAGCAATGGAAGGGGGTCCAATACCAGGGTGCTGAAAAGGGACACCAGTCTCCTCTAATGTGCTCTGTAGTAGTGAAGCTCAGTACCACGTCAGCCATGCTTGGGCTCTTCTTGGAGCTCCCATCTGAGCAAGAATCTTCGTTCAGTCATTCAGACCACTTTTTGGTGGCAACTTCCTGGGCAAACTACAATCTTAATGAGAGAATATGAAAATCTCTGTCCAAAGATAGGTGGGCATGTGTATCCTTCTTGCTTTGTTTTCTTTCAAGAAATAATGTGCTTGAATGAGTAGTGCTTCCTGGTCAGTTTGATGGGGCAGATGTTTGGGACCTTTTACCTTCTGCCATGGAAACCATATGTCCAGAGAGGCATTTGTTTCACTCAGATGTCACACAGCCATCGGCAGCCCTTGTCCTAAATGTAGGGAGAAAGGCTGTAATTTTAAGATGTCTGCAGACTATCCACTGTGCCCTTCCTGGGTGAGAAACCACTATGTCCTCTCCTTTAGTAGACAAAGGGGTCTCTGATACTTGGGGAGAGGAAATCACCCGTCCAAGACCTCACCGGCTGAGCCATGGATGGTATGAAATTCTGGATTCCCAGCTTGTTCTCCTTCTCCTTTACCTGGCAGCCACTTAGTCACATGGGCAGGCATGGATACATCCTGGATGAATGAGGCTAGACAATGGCAAACTGTCCCTTGTGAAAAGAAAGAACTGACTGGTTTTAAAACTGCCCAGTGCCTATGGAGCCCAGGCAGC